ATTTCAATAGGGTTCGTCCTTGGGCCAAATTAGTAATCTGTGCTTACAAAAATACATGGACATACGGACATGCATAAATCGACTCAAAAAGTGATTTTTTGCATAGCAAATCGTGGTATATTAATTTTTGTTTTCCCGTTTGTAACTTATCCAATCTTTTCCGACCCTGTCCGTCCGTAATCACTCTAGCATCTAAACGAATTGAGATAGATCGCCAAAATTTAGCGTAGTTCGGAGATGGTAAGGTACCAGAAGGATAGCTTGTACAAAGTTTGGGTCAAATTGGACAGTCGCTTCGCATAATATTGGATTTATAAATATTCATAATTTGTACCCTTTGTGGGGGAGGTACCACAAGGAGTGGACCAATATGTCTCATCTTCCTACTTGGTCTAGTCTTGGGTAAGATAATAGCTTGTTCAAAGTTTGGTTCAAATTGGATAGTCGGTTCGCATGATATTTTAAATTTAATTTTTTGCACAATTTTGACCAATTTGTGTGGGAGGTACCAGAAGAAACATGGGGTCTAAAAACAATATTTCTATGAGGCACATTTTCATTTCTCATTAGCCATAAGGCTGATATAAATATCAAGGCATAAATATCAATTAAAATTGCTGATATTTGTATTTGGTGTACATAATGGTTGACATAAATCGGTTTATAGAATTTTTAGTATAGGTCCACTTTTTGGTTTCAAACACCTGTCAATACACCTATGGTGAAGGGTATGTAATGATCGGCCCGGCAGAACTTAACGCAATTGTTATTTATTTATTTTTTTTTATCAAATATTTCCGTTTTGTAAAATTTGGAAATTTGTGAAGTAATTGCTGAGAAAAAGTTTGATATTCATATTTTGTTGTTGTTGTGGCGGGTCTATGTTTTTATACCCTACACAACAATCCCATCAGAGAATTATGGCTTTGTGCAGCCCCAAAGTTTGTAACGCCAAAAACATTGGTGGTACTTAAAGGTGCGTCTAGATCTTTAAGTATGCCGATTGTCATATCACGACTAGCTGAATCGATCTAGACATGTGGGTCCGTTCGTCTGCCCATTTTAATTTGTAAACACGATACAGGTCACAGTTATGGACCAATCGTCACTAAATTTTGTATGTAAAATGGGTTCTGGCCAAAGAAGATCCCTATTGCTTTTGGTAATTATCCGTTAATATTTAGGAGATAAAATAGACCAACAACTTTATTTTTGCCTGTTTTCTGGTCGCTCTAGAGTTCACAATTATGGCCCGAACAAAAAATAAGCACGACTGTTTTGATGAAGATCGGTTAATATGTAGTGACAAAGCGATGCTATGATATGCCGCTAGACGACGCTATAAACCCCTGCGTGTGTTTTCTTATGGTATAGTGCAAAAGCTGTCAGAGTGGATGCTATGCTACAAGCGAGACGAAGCGAGTGCAAGCGATAAAGCGTGTTGTGCAAGAACTCGCTTTGCCTCTGAGTTTCTTTGTTTATTATTTTAATTTACCGTTATTGATCTACTTTTGGCATCGTTGTTTTGCATTTTATCACATTTTTAATAGCATGGATCAATTTGTCTAGATTTCTGTGGACTCAAGTCCAAATTTAATTAAATAATAATAAAATAATTTGGAAAAATAAGGGAAATCGATGCAGAAACATTTGTTAATTTCGTTAATTTTCTTTTAAAAATTACGTTGAAAATATTTTGCGATATGAAAAATTCTTCGTCTGAATCATTCTTGAGTCATTAAAAACCGGTTTACAACTGAAATAGGCGATGTAACCAAATAACACGCTTTGTTCTCTATAGCACTCACTCTGACATACTATATCATTGAAGTACATAGCATGAACTATTAGAGCATGTAGTATCGCATCGCTTCTCGCTTGCAATCTGACGTCAGCCTTAGAAAATAAATTTTTACTCCCGAAAAGATGCCGACGAGGAGCTGTGGACCTCTAATCGGCCATGAAAGTGCAAATAGTTCATAGTTCATCGGTGACTTTTGCTAAACGCTGACGCATTATTTCTATCAAGGCATAAATTACGCCCAAACCGCTGTGTGCCAAGTGTTTTAAACCTTTAAATGCGAACAAATATATAAGGTGTAACATTTGTGGTTGTCCGTTCCATTATATCTGCACTGAAATAGGTGATGTAAATATATTTGAAGTTGTTAAAAAAAACTAAAAATATATTTTACAATTGCAATGAATGCATAACTATTTCGAGAAAATTGGTCTCTTCAGTGTATATGCTCTCAATTGAAGTTAATGAACTTAATGCCATGTACAGACGAGCGTCGTTCGCTTTCTCATTCGTTGTTCGACCCTTAATGAAGTAATTACTTAGTTCCCCATACAAAATTGTCTGAGCGAACACCGACTTTTGTACGTTGTTCAATTCGAATCACTCTCTGAATAACCAAGAAATTTGTCCCATCCCTAACAATTGAGAGTATTTATCGAAAATAAATTAATTTCGACAGCACGAAAATATTTATAAAATTTTCAAACTTTTTTTGTAATATTGAAAATGATGAATGAAAAGTAATAAATTGTATAGATTTTATATATGCAGCAGAATGTAAATTTTGTTTTCTACATAATGCAATATGCATTTCTTTTCCCTTGGTTCTAATTAGCGTACAAAACAAGAAACAAATGTGGGGAAACTCAAACAAAAAATTCTCCCAATTTTTATATGTGACATTTGATTTGAAAGAATATAAAAATGTATTGAAAACAACAACATTTTCCGAAAAAATGGTAAACATAAATGAAAAGTATTTAGATATGGGTTCTTATAGCCTAGACAGACGACAGCCTTAATTTGCATTAACAGCCTTAATTCAAATTAACTTGTATATTATCCTCATTTTTATATCGTTAGCTAAAATGCAAAAAGGCGTAACTAACAAAAACATAATTGTGTAGGAGAAGCAAAAAACTGTTTTGAATGAAAACTATAAACATGTCATGTGAAATGAAAAAGTGTGCCCGGCAGGGTGATATTGCATATGACGAATAGACTATATTTTTTTTTAACAAATGTAGTTATTTAGTTTAATGGCAGTCATAACAATTAAGTAAAAACGTGAATTTTTTGTTAGTTACGCCTTTTTGCATTTATCAAATAAATCCACTTGTAGTTACGTCTTTTTGTTTCTTGTTAATAGAAGCTCCTGTTTTGACCGCAGACGTGTAAAACTTTGTCAACACCTGTAGTTTATTGACATTCCCAATATTCATTCAAAAAGTCAATTTTCAATTTTTTGTTAGTTACGCTTTTTTGCATTTTAGCTGACGATATGTTGTTAATGCACAAAATCAAACTGAATTTATACTGAATTAGGCAATTTCAATATGGCAATGCTGTCGAAAATTAATTGTTTCTTGTCAAATTATAATTATAAATATAAATATATGAAAATAGAAATAAGAAATGCAGGCAAATCTCAACCCTTTTTTTTAATCGGGAGCTGTTTTGCTATGATCATAGTTGCTATTCCTCCTTTATGTCAGGTATCTATTCCCTAAAGATGTAATCCCAAAAAAAATCGAAACAAATGTAAACAAATTTCATCCTGCACACAGACAAACAATTGTTTTGAAGCAAAAAACTGTTTCGTAAATGCAGAAACTCTCGTCTGTCAGGGGTAAATATTAATTCAAATTAAGAAAATTTTAATGCAAATTAAGGCTGTCGTCTGTCTATGGTATTACTATATTCAGAATAAAGAGAATATTTTTTCTATTTAAATTCATAGGTAATACACACAAATAAGTTGGTCGGTGTAAAAGGAGAAACAACAAATTTGATAAAGAAATCTCTGATGACATAAATTAAGAATATTGTTGTATGAACGGGTTAATTCATGTATGTAATTCTAAGAGCGAACTACGTTTTTCGAATGCCCGTCAGAACATGGCATAACAAAATGCTGGTTGATATAATTTACCAAATTGATGTTCTCAATACCAGTTTTTCTAGATCTGCTGCTCTTGGTATGATTAGCCGAGTGTCTCTCCCAGATAATCATCATTTACCTAATATCTCACCACTTGGTTTTGTTGCCGCTAATGCTGATTAGCTGGTGTATCTTTGCATGGTCTCTTACCTATAAATCATAACCCATCGAACAATATTGAACGAGTTGGAACTGAAACAATGTTAAAAATAAAAGAGCAGTTTTTGGCCAAAGTTCGAGTAACGAGTTGGACGTTGTAGTACATAAAAATGGACTCTTTTGACATCGTTTAAACCTACTGTTGATGCTGAAGATATAATGTCATACGTTGAAAAGCACTCTAGTATATCTAGAAATCACTTAGCGTGCTTTATGCTTGTTAAAAGCGATACAAACCTGGATGAACTGAGAGTGTTCATTTCAAATTAGGCGTTACAACTGATTTCTATAATGAGATCTTTAAGTCTGGCCATCGAATGAGGCCATTTCATAATTTTCCCAGGGTCCAAAAGGGGCAACCTCCAGTTTAATCAATCATAGCTTTGCCTCTATTAAAATATATTACCAAAAAATATCTGGTTTACGAACTAAATCTTCTGATATTTTTGTGGAAACGTGGCTTAATCCAGATTTTTATGATAGTGATTTTTTTTAATACCAACCTGTTTAAATTGTATCGTAAAGGTCGAGACATAGCTAAAACTGGATGTTCTCGTGGTGCTTATAGATATTATACAATTATTTAATTCCGTATCAATAAATTTGCCCAATAATGGCAGGTTATTTGAACTACTTTGTTTGATGTTTGTTTGGAAATATGTAACATCTTTCAAAGATATTGCTGAACAGTTTTAAATCCAATCCAGTATTAAATCCAATTTTTTCCCAACTGATGTTGCAGATGACAACTTTCCGTTAGATTTTGTTCAGGAAATCATAAATATGGGTTCTAGTAAATTAAGTGTAACAGACGTATTACGTGGTTTTGAAATGTTAAATGGTTCAACTAAAATTGACATTGATGGTATTTTGCCTTACCTTTTGAAATTTTTGATCTCTCATTGTCTAAATTAATGTTTCTAAATAAATGGAAGATTTCTTCAGTTACCCCTGTTTATAAAACTGGCGCAAAGAATGATATAAAGAAACTATAGACCTATATCCAAATTATGCAGTGTTTCAAAGATTTTTGAACATATTATATTTCATAACCTTTTTAACTCAGTTCATTCATTTCTATCACTTTAAGCATTGTTTTATTATAAACAGATCAACGATCACAAATCTTCTACTTTTCACAAATTATTGTATTTCCATCTTTCAGGATGGACATCAAGTCGACGCTATCTATTTTGATCTTTGTGAAGCATTTGACAGAGTTTCATACAAAATTCTATTGGCCTAGTTATAAAAAATAGGTATTCATTCTGTTTTTCTATTATGGATTGAGTCTTATCTCACTAATAGGCATTGTTTTGTGAATGTAAAAAATTGCAATTCTGAATACTATATTGCCATATTACAGTAGATATCGGATATAAGCACATCTCATATAAGAAAAAATCGGATATAAGAAAGATTATCAAAAACACCGAGCCTTTTTACATCTTCTCAGTGTAAAAATTACGTCATATAAGAAAAACGCGAAAAAGAAAAACACTCATATAAGAAATGTTTGTCAAACACCAAAACTGACAAAGGTATTTGAAAACGCTTCAAATAAGAAAATATTTAAGATTGTTGGCCACACTGAATATGTTTAAATATTGTTAGTCAAAATATGAACTGATTTAAATTTTGTTCTTTTCGTTTATTTAAATATTTAGTTTTTAACATACTGAATTTGTTTTGCCAAACTGTGATTTTATTTCGTAACTTAGTAAATTTATTTACTGAATTGTCTTATTTAATAAAATATTGTTCTTGTTTTGACATGTTTTTCATTTAAAAAATTTACTTTAAGAAAATATATTCACATAAGAAATAGATTTCTTATATTCCTACGTACTCTTATAAGAAACAACTTTCTTATATCTGATAATTCCATATAAGAAAAAACCGTATATAAGAAAGAAATCTCTGATATTAAACTATTTGCAAAAAAAATTCTAGTTTTCGTGATTCTGAATTATTACAAGGTGATAGAAATCGATCGTTTTCTTGGAGTCAATTAAATACATTTGATTTCAACTATTCTAAATGTGTTCATCTACCATTTAGTAAGCGTTTACAAAAAATGCTACATAGTATCATATCAATAATATTATATTGTCAAAAGCTAATACTAAACTTGAACATGGAGTAGTTTTTTATTATGAACTTTCATTGAAACATCATATTGATTATATTATGCCTAGTGCTTATTTAGCTTTAGCATCCATATACTCGCAAATTATTATTTACAACTTTCGATCGATCTAAGCTTGCTTGTGCGTCAATATAATGGAAAACAATACAAGCCGTACACATAAATCGCTTGGAAAGACTACAATCAAATTATAAATTTTACTTTATATTCATTACAGTTTTCCCTTTCTCTGTCATCTTATTATTCCAGGTGTAAACTTATGCACCTAGTGATCGTAGATTTTTAATTTCTGTTCGGTTCTCCAAAGGAACCATTTTTTCGTTTTCTTATGCCTGTTACAAACATATGCACAAAGACGTAATACCCTGTATCACCGTGTGCTCTTTTATTTTATACTAAATTTGTATTTGGTTGATTCAAAGTGTATTAAGTGTAGCATACAATTATGATAAATAACAAATTAATATTTGTGTTATTTCGAGGTTCTTCATTTGAAAATGTTTAGTAATTGTCCATGTGTAAAGTCATTCTTGACATACTGTATTTAACAATTTTATACCTTTATAAATCATCGCCTATTTCGACAAAAATCTTAACCTCCACCATCCATTCACTGTCTACGCCAACCTTCAAATCAAAGCGATAGTCCCCACGTGGCAATGGTAAATTTCGAAATTTATTTGCATCTAAATCTAAATTTCTAACAATTATATCGTGCTGAAAAAGTAGGACAACATTTTAAGGATTTCTTAACATCAGAATAGGCCATGTTTACTCACATTATAAGGGCAAGTGTGATTGATATTTGAATCCTTGACCACAACACCATGGAACAGTTGAAGAAATGGATATTTTTTTGGGATTTTTAAAATATTGACACACATCTGCACTGATGTTATACAGAAATGGTTTATAGCCACTAAACTTTTTAAATAAAGCCAAATTAGTCTGAAAAAAAAGAAAAATGTTTATATATATATATATATATATATATATTAATTTGGTTTTGATAATAAATGTTGATCTCACCGAAATATTATTAACTGGTAATTGCCACAATTTGACATAAACATTTAACCCAATTTTACCACGACCAATTACTTTTAGAGTACATTCTTGAAAGGTTACAAATTCAGGATGAAATTCTGCACATTTCAAATTTGTGAAACGTATTGCCGTCTCATAGATACGGATGTAGAAAATAAGAAATAATAGTATCAAACACTTGTACTTCATTTTTGCAACTGACCTCGACAGATCAAATTTTTATTTCAATTTCACAAGTAATAATTGGTTTTTAATTAATATTTGTCTATGAATATTAAACAAATTTTCCAAATGAATATTGAAAAATAATTTTTTGAAATAATCTACGTAAAAATATTTTATTGCACAAATAATCTACATTTATTCTCCATTTTTATTATACGATAAAAAAACTATTAGCATATATTTTTAATTAAAAACAAACGAAAAGGCGTTAAGTTCGGCCGAGCCGAACTTTGGGTATCCTACACCATAGCTATACTGACAGGTACTTGACATGAAATTATGGTGAACATGCCAAAAAGTGGACCTATACAAACCGATTATGTAAACCATAATGTACACCAAAGATAAATATCAACAATATATACCCTCCGTCTTATTGCTAATGAGGGTGTATACACTTTGATACGATAAATATGTGCCTCATCGAAATATTGGTTCTAGACCCCATGTTTCTTTGGATCAAATCCGTTTCACAAAAGTTCGATTATTTCTTCCAAACTTAGTTCAAGTTCGAAGATGGGGAATATCGGTCCACACCTGATATCTCCCGCACAAAATGGTAATAATTGTGGATTGAGTGCATTGTTGTGGGTTGCAGAAAAACATTTGTACGGCCTACAGGGACGTACTTTACCTGTAGGCTATACCTTAAGCGGGACCAATGTTGGTTATATCATGCAGGAATTACCGAACATTCGTAGTTATCATTATATGAGGTGCTATGCCAAATTGATGACTGATATAGCTTTATTCGAAACTACAATTTTTCAATCAGAATACATTTTTTACTCTAAATATTAAAAATACCTAACATCGGTAGGGATCATTATATAAGGGCTAGGCCTAAATGTATAGTTCATTATCGAACCTTACGTTCTAGATGTTTTATCTCGATATCTTCCGCAGGTGAAATGATTACAACAGAGTTTTAGAACCAAACCTAAAACACGGAAAAAATCAGATAACTTTTATAATATAAAAAAGGGGTTATATGGGGACTACCCCAAAAAGGGGGCGAATATTTATTTTTGCTAGGGAGACTTGTTACCATATACGACTACAAAATTGGTTAAAAAACGCGCTCAAGAACTCTAAAGTACCGAAAATTGTGGGGTACCCTTATATAGGGGCTATCCGAAAAAATTGGCCTATATTCATAATATTTTGTGGTGAGATCTAGTAACTATTAACCTTATCAATTCCTTCAGAAGATGGCGTGATTACAACAGACGGACGGGCATGGCTAGATTATCTTAGAATTTTACGCTGATCAAGAATATATACGTTATAGGTTCGGAAATGAATATTTCGATGAGTTCCAAACGGAATGACAAAATTAATATACACTCCATACTATGGTAGAGGGTATAAAAATTGGCATTCACATAAATTACAAATCTTCTAATATCTCAATATATGCCTTCACATCTGCTTTCCAATCATTGTAGGCAGCAACTTTCAAATCTATACGATATTCTCCACGCGGAAATGGGATGTATCTCAGTTTATTCATATCCAATACTAAATTCTTCACTATTATATCATGCTGAAAGAAAAAAAAATATATATTTATATATGTATGTGAGAATTTACAGAATACTTACATTATATGGACATGTGTGATTAATATTCGAATCTTTCGTTACAACACCTATGAAAACATCAACAATGGGATATTTCTTCCGATTGGCCCAAAAACCACAAAAATTCGTAGTGACATTGTATAGAAATGGTCGATAGCCATTGGCCTTTTTCAAAAAAGCCAAATTTATCTGAAAATATCAATCAAACAAATTTAAGATAAAGGGATACATTGATTTTAATTTAATAAATAAGAAAGGTCCAAATTCGTATAGGATACCCTCTTCCACGTCTATAAGAGTTGATCTACAAATTATATTATACCGCTTCAAAAGTAGTAGATGAGCGAATTGATATAATCCACATAAAAGCGAAGTTCTTCTACATTAGTCTTATTGCGCCCATGCTTCAAGATTAACAGACCAACGACATTTTTTTTGCCCTAGCTATGACATCCGAATATCGATTCGGACCATTACCTTGTGGCAGTCAAGGTTCGCACCCGTTCATGTCATCCAGCGTGCTGCTTGAACGACTGAAGCCAATGGTCAATTCACATAATTAGACTATACCAATGTGGCTTTAGAACTGCAAAATGCACAATTGACCAGATTTTTACTCCGCGCCAGATCCTGGAAAAGTCCAACAAAAAACACATCGACACATTCTATCTATTCGTCGAAAAATGTGAACAGAAATGACACTCTGTACACCAAACAGCATATTTTACTCGCCTATGCCGATGACATCAATATAATGGGTCGAACATGCGAGCGTTAACAGCCACCTTTCAACTAATTGAGAAGGAGTCTGCCAAAGTGGGTCTGGCAGTAAATGGCGAGAAGACCAAGCTGATGGTATCAATGCGCAAGACGTCCAGTAGACTCAGACCAACTGTGGAACTTGAAAACTACAGCTTCGATTTACATCACTAATGCATTCTCTTTTTTTCTCGTATGGTCAGTCATTTTTAGTTATTATCTCACACACACTAGTTCTTTTCAACTCTGATTTACATAAAGCTCCACATACATTATTTTACTCGATTTCATACAAATGGTATACCAAAGAATTCCATTGACATGCAATTTATCATAGATTTCAGAATGGTATGTGTATGGGTTTCTAAATGGTTCAAATATCTATGTAGATCACACATTAAATTTCGCACGATTCCATGTCTGTTCTATCTACAGGATATTGTATATATATATATTAGCATGTCTTGTATGTATCCAAAGTGGTGAAGGGTAACATATAGTCGGCCCAGTCCGATTTTTCTTACTGCTTTTTATTTGGTATGTTGTGCAAATTTTCGTCTCAATAGGACAAACCTTGGGACTTAGGTGCACCATTGTAAAATCGGGTGCACCTATATATGGAAGCCAATTTCAAAATGTTCCGTACTTGGACCAAATAATTTGATGTGCACTAAATAATCTAAAAATACCTACGTTTGTGAATGCGGCTGGCAGTCCTAACAAAAAACAAACAAAAAATGACTTACGGATATATTGTTAACCGGTAATTGCCACAACTTGACATAAACATTTAGCCCAATTACACCGCGTCTAATCACTTTAAGATGGCACTCTTCGAAGGTGGCAAATTCAGGATGAAAGGTTTGACATTTTATATTTGTAAAGCGGATAGCGACGTTGTTCCGAATATGAAATGCCGACAATAACAGAACTAACCAAGTTAATTTCATTTTAGCAACTGATTTCACTAATCAATCACATTAGGTTGGTAGTTATTTTTTGTTATTTATTTTCTTCTTCGTAATTTATTATATTATTCAATAAAAATGTACTGAGGCGTGATTCTAATTGAATTCAACATGTATACTTTGTACAGTATATAGTGGTTAGATCGATATTAAAAATATAATATATATATATATATATATATATATATATATATATACTGAATCTTACCAATATTTATATACTACAATTATTGCAATTATTTTTAACTTACTATGAAAAAATGTATTTTTAATTGGTAAAATTCAATATTCTCTTATGACCATATTCGACATTTATTTTTATAAATAAATAATTTCTAGTATCGGGAGCAAGCACTGTACTCCAAATTATTAAATTAATTGTAAAATTTTATTACTACAAATAGTATTAGTTTATAGCATTAACTTGTATTGATTTTAAAATAATACATTATAGTGTTCGTTATAGGTATTGTTGTTAATCTATATATATTTATATATATATAAAAATGAATTGCTGCTCGTTAGTCTCGCTAAAACTCGAGAACGGCTGAAAGGATTTTTCTTATCTTAGTCTTGAAGTGTTCGTGGAGCTCCAGGGAAGGTTTAAAAGGTGCGAAAAAATCGAAAACTGCTAAAAATTTGCAAAAATGAATTATGAAGCATATTTGCATTTCCACGAACTTTAGTATCGAGCTATTTTGATTGCACCACGTCGTAGTTGTTATTTTGAGATATTTTGGGCTAGAATTGGTAGCGTGTCATTCCTTTAAGCCGTTATTTGTCAATTATTGAAAATTTTCAAAATATTTTATTTTATTTTTTATTGGACTGACATTGTATGCAAACCATTTTTTGTGATAATACAAAAAGTAATTGAGAAGTATACCATTGAATCTACTCGCGATCATTGAATGTACACGTTTTCCATGAAATGTACCTACATTTTGGACAAATGCATGGATAGAAAATCAGAAGACATTCTGAATCGTGTTCGTTTTCATTTGGGGAATTCTGATTCTAAGATACATGCCCTAGATGTTTTTGTTTGCAAATAATAGTTCCGTAGGAACATGTTGCTCCTCAAAGTACCTAAAATGTTGCTATCCACTTCAAATATTAAATCAAGTGGTACCATTATATATATTTGGTGGTTATATGCCAATATCAATATCTTTGAGCTTTACTTCCAATACATAGATTTTAAAAAAGGTTCAGAATTGCATACTCAGCAGGGAAAACAGGGATTAAACTGCGTTTAGATTTACGAAATCCACTCGATCTCAAATGTCAATTCCATTGCGTATACTTTCTTCGAAAAGTGGCCGATCGGAGCTATTAATTTTCCACTTTTTCAAAACCAGTCGGTATGAAATGTGTAATATACATTCTAAACATCGAATCCTTGCATGTAAGGTAGACAGGCCGTATTCGTATAAGTTGATGTTTGGTGTTAGTGACGAAATTTGGTTGTAATCATTCATTACTTTTGGTGTTATGTGCTTATAGCGAAAACCATAAATGTAGGTAAAACCATGTATATATGAATGTTACACCAATGATATTTTTCAGGGTTCATAAAGTGGACCTTTAACCTGCGGTATTTTAGAAGACTCTTAAAACCGATTTCGTTGTAATTTCAATTTTTATTTAGAAAGACATTTGGAATAAATGTATATTCAGTGCATGAGTTTAAAATCAACGTTTGGAGCAGCTTACTTAAATACCCTCATTTTCATACTCACACCCAGTACTCTGGAACCTTAGGATGGACATTTTGAACTTGTTTTTTTCTTATCTGCATGCTGTGATCTATTCCAAGTCATATTTGATGAATTATATCAAAAAATTCATAAATTTTTAATTTTATTTGAACAAAACCTTAAAAAAGCTTCCTACACCAATTAAAAGAGAACCAATACGGAACATTTTCAATACCAAATATCCTAGGAATAGTAATGTATGTGGAAATTTCAAAGCTCTTATAGTGGAGGGTATAAAAAGCTAACTTAATATTGTGCTACCGTTATAATGAAGTCTTATAAATATATTGGGAAAATGTAATTAAATCCGAAAGTCAATCTTATATGCGCATCTAAATTTATTAAAAATATTTTTTTCTACGAATTCGAATATTAATACATTTATATCAACAGCAACATTCGAATGCAAAATTAGAAAAAAAAATATTACAAAGATCTGCACACTCTACCTTATAGTGGAGGGTTTTTAAAACAAATCTAAAATTCCGAGAATTATAAATCAACAATATTGCTAGGCAAGACAACGTTTGCCGGGCCCGCTAGTATATATATATATACTGCATCTTACCTATATTTATATACTACAATTATGGCAATTGTTTCTAACTTACTATGAAAAAATGTATTTTTAATTGGTAAAATTCAATATTCTCTTATGACCATATTCGACATTTATTTTTTTTTAAGCACTGTACTCCAATTATTAAATTAATTGTAAAATTATACCAGTGAGCGGAGCAGTATAGTCGGACGGGGCCGACCATATGATAACCTACACAACTACCACGAAAAGTACACCTTCGGCGGTCCTATATTCTGAGCCAGGGCAATATTTCGTGATATTTGCACCCTTTGTATCGATTATAGATCAACAACTGATCTTTCTATGTCTTGCATATTTTCCAAAATGTTTTTTCTTGAAGTGAATTTTTACGCAATAAAATAAAAAATTTGTCACTTTAGGTTTTGGTTGATTTGACCCTCAGAAAATTGACCGATCATCATCTAAACAGCCGCTTTAAGTGTTTTGTCAGATCCCCTTCACCTTGTAAAATATGTGATGTTCTGCATATAATAATTGCCTCTAGAGCGACTAGAAAATCTGACAAAATTAAAGTTTTCGGTTCATTGCACCCCCTGAATGAAATCTCAACTTCACCGAAAATTATAAGCGGAATCCTTGACCATAATCGGAACTTCATGTACAATTTTAAAGCAATCAGCGCGACATTTCCGTCCTCTAATGGAGTAATAGTAATAATATGCACATAATCATCTTTACTTAATTACGTATAACTCCCGCATGGGAGTACATACAGCCATATAATTGGTATCAATTTGAAGGTCAACAACTCATCTTAGACAAACTATCAACATCTCGAGTATATGTCCTTCAGGAGCAAGTATATACGCCCCAGAATAAAAATTTTGTAATTTTTCACACAAAAGTCAGGGTCCATTTGACCCCCTAAATATTGGCCGATCTTTATCAAAACAGGCATGCTTATTCTTAGGCCCGATCCCCTTCTCCATGTAAAATTTCACGACGTTCGGACCATAACTGCGGCCTCTGGAGCGGCCAGAAAAACCGACAAAAATGTAGTATTTGGTCCATTTCATCCCCTAAATATTAACTGATCTTTACCAAAAACAATAGGGGTCTTCATTGGCCAGAACCCATCCTACATGCAAAATTTCGTGAAGATTGGTCCATAACTGTGGCCTGTATCGTGTTTACAAATTATAATGGACAGACGGACGGACACACATGTCTAGATCGACTCAGCTAGTCGAGATATGACGATCGGTATACTTAAAGGTGGGTCTAGGACCAATATTTCGCGGCGTTACAAACATTTGGGGCTGCACAAAGCTATAATACCCTGACAACATAGTTGTGTAGGGTATAATTACTACAAATATTATTAGTTTATAGCATTAACTTATAATGATTTTAATATAATACATTATAGTGTTCGTTATAGTTATTGTTGTTAATAAATTATAAATTGAAAAAAAAAAAAAATTATAAGTCTCAATAAATTAATCAAATAAAAAAAAAACATATTCGACAAAGAAGATTAGTTCATAAACAATATAGTTCAGTGGCATTGCTTATGAACTAATCTCCTTTGTCGAATATGGTCACAATACTAGATAGTATTTTATCAATTAAAAATACATTTCTTCATAATAAGTTAAAAATAATTGCGGTATATATGAATGTAAGTATGACGGAATATGTATGTAGGCTGATAAGTATATCCGACGGATATACAAAACTTCAACTGAACTCTGTCTTTCTGCTGATCTATATTCCGAGTCGCTGATCTATATTCTGCTGATCTATATATCGCGTCCAGGTTAACTGTATACAAAGTTCAGGCCGCATTGGACGAAATTTGGCACAGCTCATTTATTTGACCCAACCTATTGAAATTGGTTTCAGATATATCTCCCATATTTATTTTAGTCTGATTTAATGTAAATAGTGCTCCCAAGTCCTGCCTCATCTGCTTGCGCAAGTACCCATGCTTCAGATCGGCATTTACTACCAGAACCACTTTGACAGACTCCTTCTCAATTCGTTCAAAGGGGGCTGTTTCCGGTTAAAGTTATCCTGCTTAGCCCAAGAGTAAGTGGATACAACTCTGGAAACTGACGGGGAGCTTAGTTTAGCCCAACTGTGACAGCATTAACCCTAATGACATAGACAGTTTTGTTAACAACCTAGGTTTGTCAACAACCCAAGGACAAATTGAAAAAAACGGTTCAGATTTAGATATAGCTCCCATATATATTATAGTTCGATTTTATGTGCATTGTGCACCATCATATCGAAATGGGACAAAAATAACGACTGGTAAGTTTGGATCAAATCGGTTCAGATTCAGATATAACTTGTGGTGTGTCCTGGTTACTAGATTTTTAAGCGATGTTTGGGAATTATAATGAAGGTCACAACATTGTTTTCGGAGTCCTGACAAGGAATCACACTAAGGTACAGTAATAAAAAGTTAAGAAAAATTCGTTCCGTTTTTTTCTTGGCCTCCGATGAGGACACATCCAAACCAGAGGTTCCCAAACGTATGCTACTTTGGAGTTTTGATTTTTAAGTTTATTTTTTAATCGGCAATCATCTTTCTAAAGTACAAAGTATATTAAGGCATAGTACCGGTAGGCAGGTTCCTCTTAGTTGAAAGCCCTGTAAAGTTAGAGTAA